CCCCAGGAGGAAAAGAGCGACATGCCACAAGACCCAGGTGGGCTGAACAAGCCTATATGGACGAGGTGATGGCGGCCAATGACTGCAAGCATAGGATGGCTGGTTTTGATTACGTCATTGTCATGGATATGGACGAGATTATCATCCCTAAGCCGACAAGAAAAAACCTCCATCCTACTCTTGTGACTGCTTTACAAGTGAGTTCTGTTTTTTTATATTAAAAAAAAAGTTTTTGTGAATTTTTTACGCCACTTGTAACGCAGTAAGAGATTAGAAGCGTTGCAAGAAAGTAACAAACATTCCAGAAAAAAGGAGGAGAGATAAGGATGATAGGAAAGACGTGAGTTTGATTCTCAGATGGGGGAGTAGTTCTATTTCCAAGAACAAATCGCCACCCTACTCTTGGGACTGCATTACAAGTGAGTTTTTACGTCCTGTTCCGTTGTTGTGGTGTAGTGGTTAGCGGCTTAGCCATTGGAAGTACAAGACTTGATTTCGGCTCCCATGTGGGGTAGTAGTTTTATACATTCTATTTACGGAGTTAGGGTAGCCGAAGATATAAAGGGCATAACTCTGCTTTAAAGCCACTCCAATTATTTTACTGAAATGCTCTTGTGTGTAGTCTCCCCTGACGTATGTCGTTAAACTACGAACTTTCGGTGTTGGTATTGTTGTCGTAACAACAATAATAATATTCTGAAGTGTTGTGGGAGTCACAAAATCTCTCCCATTGCCTACGTCACATGGGTACTGATGATAGACGGGGTCAAACGTTGTTGTTTTTTTCTTCTTAATTTGTCATTTGAATTTGGAAAAGAGGGCGGTTGGAGGAGGTTTGGGGTGGGTGGGGGTTATTTTATGTATTTAATTTGTTTTTGTTTTTTGTGTTTTTGTGGGGGGGTTTGGGTGCGTTTTTTTTCTTTTATCTTTTTGTTTTTGTTTTGTCTTCTTTTTTGTTTTTGTTTTTTATTCTCTCGTTTTTATTTTTGCTTTTTAATAAAGTAAAACAAAAAGTCTGACAGTTCAACAATTTGAAAATCGAGATTCTTGATCAGCGGTTTTCCTATTCACATGGGTTACTTGCACTGTAGGAACTCTATTTTTAGCAAAATGTGACTTGCTCCTTTTATCTTTCTGACTCCTCACAATAATACAGCTACTACTCAAAAGGTTAGTGCGCTCGTCTACGAAGCGGAAAGTCCAGGTTCGAGCCTCGGTTTGGACACGGATTTTTTCGACCCCTCCTGCCCACCCAGCAGTATTGGGTACCTGACGTCGAGTTGGGGAAGTAAAGGCGGCGTGGAAAGGAACTGGCCACCCTGCCACAATTAATGCCGAAGGCTCAGGAAGTTGTCTCACTAACAAGGCAGTCCCCAATATCCGGATCAGATGCGGTACCTTGACCTTGACCTTGACCTTGACCTTGACCATCAATGATTTATTCATAGAGGCACCAGCCATCCTTGTCCAGGCCCTGTTTTAGCCTCTTTTTCCTGTCACCAGATGCGGGAACAACTTTTTTTACTTTTTACTCACCAGGAAGCGTCTGTACGCCACCCCAAAGCCTCGGCCTTCAGCATGGACGCGCATGTCGTGCCGCCAGACTGGGGAAAGGCGAGGGAATCTCCCCTCTTCGTGAGTAATAAAAAGTAATTTGTGAAGGCTAAGGAAAAGATTAGATAAAATAAGATAAGATAAGATAGTACTTTATTATCCCAGAGGGAAATTTTCCTGGGCTCTACGCATTTATTGTATTGGATAGAACCTATTCATTTTTGTGTATCTCTAGTTATAAAAACCAACACGTAATTTTGTTTTACAACTTAGGGATATTTATTTACTTAATTCATTTATTTATTTATTTAATTTATTTATTTATAATACAGTTGAAATTGTCTAAGATGGCCATTATCGAAGATATAAAGTG